TGGCAGATATAAGGTATTGTGGTGAGACAACCCCTTTTCCCTCAAAATAGAATTCATCTTGCCCGGGAGGTTGGAATATTACTCTCTTCGAGGCACAATCAATAGTTGCATAATATGTAGTTAGCCAATCCATACTAGAATAACATCAAAATGTCCCATGTCTAAAGGTATTAAATCAGCATACAAAGTAGCATTCCCGAGAAACAATTCACATGCGGTAAATACAGTTGAACATAGCATGGATCCCCTCGTAGGTGATGCAACACATAGTATATAGTTCAATGTTTCCATAGGTCTATTCAAAGTTTCATCAAAAGCCATAGAAATGAACGAATGTGTAGACCCAGAATCAATTAAAGTGTAAGTAGGTTTACCACAAATGGAGATTGTACCTGACACCACTACCTCAGTATTTTGAGTATCCCCTGGGACCAGTGCAATAAGCTTTCCTTGCCGTTGTTCATTCCTTGTGGTAGACGATGTTGTGGCTGGTTTCGTCGCAGGTGTGGATCCAATTGAGCTTGTGGCTCCTCGGTTGCCATTTGGTCATGATTGTGTGCAATCCTTCACCATATGCCCCATCTTTCCACACTGGTAGCAAGCCCCTGTAGTGCGATGGCAAACACCTTCATGTTTCTTCCCGCATATAGTACAAGCTGGTGTTGAGTTACCACTTTGGCTTGAACCAGTATTACCAAAACTCCCCGACTTGAAGTTCTTGCTCATTGACGTGGTCCTTTTGTTAAAATTTTGTTTTCTTCCCTTCCATTCAAAGTTTTGCTTACGGTTGGTCACATTCCTTTCCGCTATTAGTGCCCTATCAAGTACATCCACATACGTCGGCAATTTGAGTACATTAATTTTCTCTAGGATTGGGTCACGTAACCCTTCTTCGAACTGTCTAGCCTTCTTGTAATCTGTGGATACCATGTGAGGTGAGAAATGGGCTAATTCTGTGAATTGAGCCTCATACTCAGCAATTGATTTGTTTTCCTGCTTCAGTTCTATAAATTCAGCTATTTTTCTATCCCGCACACAATGTGGAAAATATTTTTCATAGAAGATTTCTAGAAAACAGATCCAAGTAACATCTTTATTATCATTCCAAACCAACATCCACCAACGTCTTGCAATGTCTTCCAAAGTGAATGTAGCTAGTAGCACCTTCTGGACTTCAGTACACGGAAACATTTCAAACAATTTCTCAATTCCCAATACCCAAGCTTCGACCTTCAATGGTTCAATTCCACCATGAAACACTGGTGGCTTCATCTTCTTAAATTCTCTAGTCAAGGCATCAGTGTAGGTCTCTAGCTGACACCCTGGAGCTGGAGGTGGTATAGGCATTTGAGGTGGGGGAGGTGGTTGTTGTTATTGTTGCCATTGCTGTTGTTGTCTAATGGCTTCAGTCATGTCTTGCATCATTCGTTCCATTCTATCCAGTCTTGAGGAGGTTGCCTCCTCTATTTCATCACCTCTGGTTCTCACCATTTTCTATATGAACTTTTGTATTATAACAAACACAATATACATATATACACATAGTCACGTGCGCAATCTCATATATCATCCCAAGTTATCTTACCTAACATATCAATGCACATGAATGCAATCCTAAAGTTTCTTCTAGACCCCCTATAGTTCAATGGATAAGTGAGTGAGACATAACTTGTGCTCTGATACCACTCTGTCAGGACCCAAACCCGCCCCTATAGGTCTAGCGTCGTGACCGGCCAGTAATCATAGATTACCTACGGCCTCCATACAAATAAACCTTTAATACCAATTACGGGGCTTAGCGAAAGTCTAAAGCGGTATAGAATTCATCCATTGAGCTGTGCATATATGAGAAGGGCAAACATATTAAGCAAGGTATTGTTTCAAAATTTTCCTCCAACATAGTACAAGCCATGTAACATAAGTACAATTCATGTCTTACAAAATACAACCCCAACTATGAACAAATACAAAACCTATAAAGCACACAAAAGAGGTTTGACGAGTATGGCTCCACTCAAGCCTGATTACTTCACTTTGAAGCTTCACAAAAGGCTGACCCGGTAAACTCGAGGCTATCTAACTCTGATGTTCAGTTTGCCCACCTACAAATACATATATAAATAATAGTAAGCTAGAGCCCAATGAGTAACAACAAAATAATGAGGTTATATGAATGAAGTTCCACAACACTACAATTATCATTTAGATTAGCCATCAAGTCAATCCTTCACAAAACGGATAACCATTAATCGATAGCATTTTCATTAGCTCATTAACTTAATCATCAAGATCTTTCAATGTCAAATTATGTGGTACATCCATGAAGTAATAGTGAACCGTATGTTAATCAATCCAATAGCCATGGTATTGTTACCCCCAGGCAAGGGCCTAGCCATGGTATTATTACCCCTAGGCAAGGGCCTAGCCATGGTACTATTACGCCCAAGCAAGGGCCTAGCCATGGTACTATTACCCCCAGGCAAGGGCCTCTTAAACAATGTGCCACGGTGTTAATTTCCCCCAGGCAAGGGCCTATTAACAATGAGCCACGATATTAATTTTCCCCGAACAAGGGCCTATTGAACAATGAGCCACGATATTAATTTCTCCCGGGCAAGGGCCTATTAAAGGATGCCACAAGTATAGTTTTAAAATAAAATATCATTCATAGGAGAAATAACATTTCAATAAACCATTGCATCAATCGTCATAAAGTTTCAAGAAGACATTTAATCAATTATATATATATATATATATATCAATTTCAATAGCAATAGCACTTTCAGAAGTAGGAATAACTTGAACATATCTTTATAAAGTTATTACGCATAGTGGTTTGTGGTGATGCTAAGACTCGGGCATCTACCTAAATGAAATACATAACAAAGTATAAATGAAATTCCATTTCATTTCAATTCAATTCTCTTTGTGTGTCTCTAACTTATTGTATGATTATATGAGTATAAAAAGATGCCTAAGAATGCTAGGAGTGGCATGATGATGCAAATATGCACTCAAAAGAGTTGATAAAAATTTCTGAAAACAAGGTCTCCGCTCGAGCTCAACTTCCTATGCTCGAGCGGGGGTTCAAAAACAAAGGTGGTCACTCGAGCGTGACATCCGTCACTCGAGCAGTCTGCAAAAGTGCTGGATACATGAAATTCACGCTCGATGGTGGCTCGAGTGGAATACTGAAGAAAACGGGTCCTCGCTCGAGCACCACTTTGGTCGCTCGAGCGGACTGTAAAATTTCAGAAACTTATGGGAGCTCAAAATCCACGCTCGAGCATGGACTCTCTTGCTTGAGCGGACAGCACGAATTCTGGAATTTCCAAAACTGCAATTGAATATCAAACATGGTATTCAAAGCTTCAAATCTTGCATTTCTGTTATAAAAACATAGAAAGTCATTATATAACTTGAAAACACTTCCAATTGAAATCATTTATTCAAAATTATGACAAATTCTTAACTAAAGATTCCAACCACAATTTTTAAAATGAGTTTAACTCAATTTGAATGCATAATTCTCCAAAACATGTTTAAAAATAAGATCAAGTGACATGAGACGCATGAAGACATGACGGATTCTCCAAAATGATGTATAATTGTGCCATGCATGAATGAATTCCATGAAATTCCAACTCAAATATGTATGCATGCAAGCAATTCAACTTCATTCTTCCATTTCTTGAAATTCATTGCTTCTTTTCTTCAATAACATGTCAATGAGTACAAAAATGAGAGGAATTCACTTCTATATGCCATATCTACATGAATTAGTGATGAGTGCCATACCTAGTGTTGAATTCAAGTGTGTTATGTCTCCAATCTTTGAATCTCCCTCTAATTCTCTACAATTCACCTCTTTCTCTCTCTCTAAATGTTGAACTCTCCTCTCCTCTCTCTCAATTCTCAGCTGAATATGTATACAAAAATGAGCTCATAAGCTTAATTTGGGTCTTATATAGGGTGTGATTAGGTTAGCCTAATCAAAGGTGGTTAGGATTAATTAGTTAGGCTTAATTATAACTAATTCAATCAGTTTATTCTAATTATTTTGATCCAAATCAAATTTCAATTAAAACCACCATAAAATTCTAAATATTGTAAATAGCCTAATGGGCTAGTCAATTTCAGTTTCTGAAGCCGTTTAGGCTCCCAATGTTCAGTTTAACAATACAGCTTATAACTTTTTGTAAGTCAAAAATCAACTTATTATTTGAGTGGGGGAGAAGAAGCTTAATTTATAAGTCAAAATCAGCTTATATTCACAGTTATAAGTTATAAGTTATAAGCTGTTAGATTATAAGTTATAATCACTTTCTCACAGCTCTACCAAACGGGGCCTAAAAAGTAAGTATCAATTTTATAGAATTTTACAAAGTATATGAATAATTTTTAATTTTAAAATATATTTAAAAAGAATAGAAAAATTTTTTTGGGTAACAAAAATAAATAATACTAATAAAATTGAACTCAAACCAAACAGCAGGGACCTTGTTTTTTACCTTCCCTCCCAATTTCCTCTCTTTATTTTTTCTGCTAGGTAAAACCCCTATTCTCTCCACGATTGGAAGTTCTCTTCTTCTTACAATCGCACGCCCGCGTAGATATTTGTCGACCGTCGGGTTTTCTCCATTTAGAGCATCTCCAACGGTAATAGGCATTTTACCTATCTAAACATTACTATAAAGTATATATTTTATTTTGTCTATCAACTGTTTCAGGTTTTTACTCCAATCATGCTCTGTATTTTAGCTATTTATCCAAATACTATTAACTTTATAGAATGCCACATCGGCAACAAAGATGGAGGGAAATAATCCTAATGATTAAATACATTTTGCCTAACCTTGAAGGCTAGCTACATGTAACTAGTGAATGTGAGTTGAGCTAAAATGCCTAATCATATGCCTAGTGCATTGGAGTTGAAAAAGTGAGTCATGTTAGGCATTTTGACGAACAAGCATTAGATACCTAGTGGGTTGGAGATGCTCTTACCGTTGCTGTGCTGCACCATCGCCTCTTCATTCTGGCTCGGTAGGTCATCCCCTCTTTGCTCTGTACTTTACTTCTCTCTCTCAATTTGTTATATGAATCTTTGTTTTATTTGCTTTGTATTTCATTCGTTTCAGTTATTCGTTTCTTTGTCAAGGGTTCCTAGCATAACCTGCAATTCTATCTGCTTTCTATTGAGTTTTGAACTAGGGGAGAACCATTCTATCTCTAGCTTCTAGTGAATTCCTAGGGCTTTTTAAAGATTTTTTTTTTCTTGCATATTTGAAGCTATTTCTTATTAGATTGCACAGTAGGAACAATGTTTTTCATTTTTGTAGTTGCAGTATCCAAATCCAGTACTCTTGGATATGTTTCTTCACTATATGAAGCATGAGAATCATCAAATTCTAGCTTGATGTCACCCAGAAGCTGGGAAACCTTCACATCATCACAGGAAAATTACAAGGTTATGAAAAATAAAAAAGAAAAATCATAGAAAAATATGAAATTTCACTTAGGATCAGGAATACTAACCCCAATTTCACTTACGCTGTATTTGGTTGGGGGATTTAAGGAGGGATTTGAAAATAAAAGGGAAAAGTTAGGTGAAATGTGAATAAAATATATTTACATTTTATCTAGTTTCACACACCTTTTCCTTTTCCTTTTCCTTTTCCTTTCTAAATCCCTCCCAAAATCCTCCGACCAAACACAACATTAGAGATTTGAAAATCCATCCAAACAGTGTTAAATGTGTTGCTAGTTAAATGTTTAAATGCCTCCATCAATCAAAACTTCTAATTTGGATTAAAGTGCTTCAAAATTTAGTTATGGACAAATGATACAATAATAGCACATTTTTGTATATAATATCCACGTGGTTCAATTGATGATCCCAAAATTGCCACAATAAAAGGAAATAAAGTAGCATACAGTTGAAGGACTGTCTGACAACTTGACCGCTTCAGTAGTAGCTTCGGCATACTAGCCATCATCAACGAGCTTCTTGACCACCAACAGTGACTCTGGTGCATCTGGGTTTGTGTAGTTTCTAGAAATCCCAGCCCAAAGTGTGTCCTCTGCCAAACAAATTCAAGTAATATACTGTCAGTTTTACTTTTATATTGAGAGAGAGAGAGGGAGCAGTAAGGGGTGTTTAACATATTTTATCTTTTTTTTTGGTGACTATTTTAGTCCAAATGGCCATTCCCAAACAAACCCAAGAAAGAGAACAAACTTCAAATCTTGAAAAGAAACAATAATAGTATATCAAATTCTTTTCAATTCAAATTATTATTCTTTGATGCTATTTTTGTTTTTTTTTTCTCTCTAAACTTTATTCGTATTATTTTTTTGAATATGTATCACACATTAATATATACTAATTGAGCTTTGTTTTTTTTTGGTTTTTTGTTTTTTTTTTTAATTTTTATATTGAACTCTTTTAACGAACCTGTGACAGAGCAAACCATACATGCTATTGACTTCTTGTTGAGATGACTTTGGGTATGGTTGCAGATTAAACTAACTAATTCAGTTCTCATTGTTTATAATATAGCAACTGATTCAACTGTGTGGTATTCTCATCACATTCCCAAGGTTGAGTGATATGATATCACTTCCAACTTTTTAAAGAGGTATCTTAATTCTCTTTATTGACTTAATTCTTTCTTGCGGGATAAATGTTTCCTTTTCCTAGACCTTGATTAATATCTTGATTTATAAATCTAGCTTTGTCTTGATTTTGAATAGCAGCCAGTGCAAAAACCCATTATTAATGTTCAGTTCACACTTTCTGTTTCTTAGATAGTATTGAGTGGATGTGTGATATAACGGGTTAGATGATATGCTCCCTATAACTTGACCTAAAAAGAAGATATGCTCCCTTGATTTTTCCAGTGCTTCTTGTTCTTTAGCTTCTCTCAATTTTATTAGTTTTTTCGCCAAGTCTAAGAGAGCACATAAGCTGGACACAAAATGTATGTAGCGGGATATGATTTGCTTTAGAAGTGGGCTCCACTAATAATCATGTCTAGTAATGTGAATTTTGGATTTGGTTTCTATTTTTGTAGGTGGTCTGTATTTTTTTTACCCCTTCTGTTCATGAGATTAGAGTGATTTTGAGTCTTTGACAACGCAGCTTGTAATTTTACATGCTTGAGGGTTAAACTAGTACTGCTTCTTCTTCATCTGGAAGTGGACATTGTACTGTTAAAAAAGATTTTAAAGAGGGGGCATTTTTTCATTACGTTGCGAAAAATGCAATTTCTTGTAGTGAGGTCTTCCGCTGTTTTTCCTTCAGTTGGTATGTTCATTTTTGTTCTCTTTATATATACTTGTTATATATATATATATATATATAAGAATATATGTATGATGGTTTTGTTATAATTAGGTGGGCTGAGGTTCTTCCACAAATTTTCAAGTAATTGCAATCTTCCTCTTAGTTGTTATCAGGTAATTTCAATGTGGATTGAGACCCATTTTACTTTACCACTTTATTGCTTTGATTTTATTTTTTTTTTGTAATCAAGTTCATATATAAGTCTGCATCTTGATCATCTAGCCTTAGCCTTTTGGTTATAAATAACATATTTTTGTGTGTTATATTACTTTATAGAGTCAAACTATTGTACACACCACCTTATCATCAAAAATAGTGTTGAATTTTTGTGGCGTTTGTTACGAATTAATTTTATATACTTACCAAGGGTGCACCATAAATAAAAAAAAAAACAAAATCTTAATTACAAACCCTTAGGATTATGTTATGAATTTTTGGCATTTCTTAATCTTAATCCCAATCTTAATTACAAAAATCTTAATCTCAATGCTTTAACTCAATTATGTTGAGATTTCTTCATACATTTCCCTTAAATATCAGTCCTCTAAATTTGGAAGTTTAAATTTTCATTTATGACAATATTAATAATAAAAAAAATTCTTTTTCTTTCTTGAATGTAAGTTGCTAAAGATGGAGATTGTGATCTTGCTCAAGTACTAATTGGGAATGAGAAGAGGCTTGTTCACATGCATTTGCATATTGTCATTGGTGATGCTATAGTTGCATTAAAAACATTGTTCCAATTGGGATTGACTTGATTTTATTTATTTTGTACTTAGTTTAACTTTAGGTGTTGTTGTACATAAACTTAAATTTTGAATTGTAAGAACACGTGGGGTATTGTTGCTATCATAAATAGAATTTATTTATTTATTTATATATATTTGGATGTCAGTGAATTAAAGTATGGATATTTTTTAATAATTTTTTTTATTGGAAAATAATTTATTATTTGTGATGGTAATTTTTGCAATCCCAAATACCAATTTTTTTTTTTCTTTTATAAAACAATTAGATGTTTTGTCGATGCAATCAAATTGTCGCCAAAAGTATCATTTTTACTGATGCAAATTTGAGTCGGCAAAAGTGACATAATCATTTTATTTGATTCACTTTTGCCGACACAATGGTAAATTGGCGACGATGGTTGAAGGCTTTTGCCCACAAACATGTTTGTCGCTAAAGTACATGCTTTTGGCGATGCAATGAATTTTTCGTCGATAAAAACTTTTCCTGACACACTTTCAGCGACGGGTTACTGACGAAGCTCTACGGGTCGACAAAGCTCTTTGCCGACGATTTCTGCCTTTTGGTGACGAATTTTGTTGTGTTGCCAAAACTGTTTTTTGTTGTAGTGTGTAAAGAAGATGTTCTTGTTGTAAACCAAATTTGATTCCAAAGCACCCTCAAGTTTGAGTTATGATTTTCAATCTTCTAATCAAGTTCCAAGTTCAAGCTCTTGTATGGTATGTATGGATGACATGAGAGCTTCAAGGCTTATGGAAGAACAAGAAGGATAATAGCTTTGATCTTTTCTAACTCTTGATATCTCTAACTCACTCTTGATATTTTTAACTCACTTGATATTGATTTGATCTCTCAAACCAAATTCTATATATGTTTTTCAACCTCCTTACAGCAGTCTGAACCCTACTATTTATAGGCCCTGAGCAGGTTTGATCAAAATATCTGCAGAATTGAGCAACTGGCAGAACACTGTTGAAACTGCCTGAAAAGTCAAGAAGTCTGGCCGAACCTTGGTGTCTCTGGTAGGATGTCACTGAGGTCCGTCCGGACTTCAATGTATTTCCACTATTTCTTACTTTCATGTTCAATACAGGTTAGCATAAGGTGCAATACTGATATTCTGGGGTACAAATACAGTGGGTATGGCAGGTTGGAATTGTTTAGAGCTCAAACTCAGATTCCTTTATTAAGAATTCAAATCACTGACTCAATGTAATCGTCATCATCGAGTGCTCGGAATAAAGCGCCTAAGTCTTACGAGTGGTCAAAATTGGGGTGTCTATAGTTGCTCCTCTTTGACAGAGCTCAAAGTCATTTCATGACGTGAGTGAATATCAAAGCCCGAAGACGACTCATTTGACAAGATCGTAAGACTTTGGCAAAAACAAACAAATGCACACACAAATGGTTGAAACTCGAGGGTTGCCTAAGTATCCCGTTGCAAGGAATCAAACCTATGTAGTTTAGGGGCAAGATGCAAAATAAAACATAACTTATGATTATGCAATGAAATGCAATACATAACTTATGATCATGCAATGAAATGTAATCAAGACAATGATGTGACACTGAACGAAAGCATAAATCAAAGCAAAACAAATCCAATAAAAAGAGTCATTAGTCCGTCATTACTAAGTGTAATATGAAACAGTGGTAGCACAAAAAGAGTCCAAATTCAGCAATTTCTTTTGAAAAATCAATGTTTTGAATCAAATGCCAAAAATGGATTACTTTGCCAAATATTAGAGTCGCCACTTAAATATTTATTTTGGGAAATTTAGGAAATCTGTGACTTATGCCAAAGGCCATTAGTCTGTCATTACTAAGGTGTCTCGGTTCGGGAACTTAGGTATGAGAGGGGAAGGTCAGTAATAAGCACCCCACTCACTCGAAAAAAAATTTAGCCTCTACTAATCATGATGTGATTCTTATGTACAATATATGTTCTTATTCTGATTATTTAATAAATCCTCAAAATTTATTATGTGAAGCATAAAAGGTATAGACTAGTTTGCTCAAATTAGAACAATTCAATTTCATGTTTGTTTGTTGAAAAAGGCTTTGAATTTGCCTCCTCAAGTGGGCTTAAAGTTTGTGAATTTGCCACTACAAAGTGGGCTTCAAATGTACATTCGTTGAATCATTCCAATTCAAGCGATAAGTTTTCATCCACAGCCATTCAAACAGTTTATCATTTAAGCAATTAGTCTCATGATAGGATGCTAAACATAATAAGAAAATTATGTACAAGCGGGATGCTAAAGCATAAAAACTCACATATTTTCCGACGTCCCGCGAACAAGTTACAAAATAAAGTTAAAAAATATGCATGATTCCTAACTATGCAATATGACAAATGCAACACATGTGATATGCAATTACTAGGCTCGGCTAATAATATGGCATATGAAATGATTTGATGGCATGCGGTCTAAGCATGTATTCAAAGAAGTATTGAAACGACAATGCGAATTAGAATGATGCGCCGAGCCTTAGTGCATGCAATATAAGTGGATGCAAACATGAGTATGGTAAACAGGATATGATGTCCCTAAATTAACCATCATAAGCGGTTAAATAAAAGGGAGAAAGACGTGGGATTAGAAGACATACACATTATTACAAGTTTGTTTGCACTCACGCAGGAGGGTCCAAATGAACTAACTAGCTAGCTAAACTACTTAACTAATTATTACAAAACTTGAATAAATTAGCTAGTTATCTAAGCTAATTAATTATTAGAATAAGTAAATAATTAATTATGTTAAGCTAATTAATGAAGTAAAGTATGAACTAATTTAAATAACTCCGTTAAGCTAATTAAATAAGTACAATACAAAGCTAATTAGCTAACTACATTAACTAATTAATTACAGAGTAACTAATTTAAACTAGTTAACAAATTAATTACAACATGAATTAACTAATTAAATAACTAATCTAATTAAATAACTATGACTAACTAATTAATAATTAAACTAATTACCTATTCTACCTAATTATTACAAATTGAAACTAACTAATTAATTTCACTAATTAATTAATTATAAATTTCGAATTAACTAACTAATTAATTACTTCCTAACATACATCCTAATATTTCTTGAGCCCCCAATATCAGCCAACATCTCCAGGCAACCCACACTACATCAGTGTCTTCTTCTTTCCAATCTTTTGACTGAGCTTGCTCTTAGCACATCTTCCTTCTTTGTTCTTCTAATGGGTATTGTATCTTCAGGGCATCTACATTCATGTGCCAAAGCTAAGTTATAGGCTTTCCTCTTTCTTTGTTCTCTGTAGAAACCTTTTTCTGATCATAAAGCTCTTCTGGGTGATAGCATGGCCTCATCTGTATTTTGTGGTCTTTGAGGCATGGGTGATCAAATGCTGGTTGATGAGAGATGTGTATACAGTCAATGATATCCCCATCTGGACCCTTAATGCTTTTAAGGGGAGGTTTGTTCAAGCGGTTTAAGTGCTTCTCGACCTCATGCTTCTGCCTGTAAACAGGCAACCTAAACATGCGCTCATAGGCTCCTCCTTGGTACACAACCATCTTCTTCATCAGCTCGAGTCTTGTCTTCTGGTATGAGTGGCTCCCTTATCTCTTCTTGCCAGCGGTTCTCACCTTGCTCTACCTCCTGTCTGGTGCCCATCTTTCCTATCTGTTTCTCCCTCTCTCTAAACATCTTCTCCCTAAAAAATAATATCACCCATGCACATGAACACCCTCAAACGAACATATATCACTCCAAGATCACAACCTCATCGCCGGCGACGGTAGGCCGAACAAGAAGACCGGCAAACCGAAGCTAAAGATCAGTCGTACCTGCCATCATACGCCAGACTACCACAAACGAGCTCGCCTGAAACCTTCTCCAATCAACTCGAAGCAATCGGCAACGGCATTCAGAGCATCAAAGACCTATGCCTCCGATACAAATACATTTTAGCAACGGCGCCGTAGTTTGAACCGCGCCGGAGCAACAAGAGCAAGATTACGAGTTCAGATATGAACTCAGCACCCAGGTCATCTACAAGACCTTGAAAACCACCCGAATATTTGTTGTCGAGAACTTAGATTTTGGGTTAGTATGCGAACTGCCAAGGGAGAGATCAGAGAAGGGGGCTGCCCATGTGTGTGTGTATGTTTGTTTTAGCCCAGATGCTCTCTGTCTTCACCCCCCAACGAGAGAGAGAGAGAGAGAGAGAGAGAGAGAGATTGGTTTGGTGTGATCATCTCAGAGCCAGAGCCCATGCGAGAGAGAGTAATCCGCCCAGCTCCAAGGCTCCCTTCTTTTCGTTTCTGTCTGTATCTTTTTTTTTTTTCAAAATAATGCTGTCTTTTTTTTATTCTCCAACTAAAGAGAGAGCCAGCCCCCCTTTGAATCACTTGCTCCAATTCTATATATCACACCACGCAAAACCATAATAAAATAAATCTACCTTCTTGTGCCTACAAACCTTTTTCACCGCCCACCATGTTGAAGAATAGACATATATCTTTTTTTAGGAAAATGAGTGAGAGCATTAATTAGTACTACCACTAATGATGTGGCAGTGGGCCCCACTATGAATGATTTGATGTTTTGGCCTTGGTGTTTATTTTTTTTCTTTTTTTATTGAGTGCCATGTCATTAGTGATCTTTTTAGAGATCCAAAATTAGTGGTTTCCATCATTGTTGCTTTTTTTAAAAACTAATCCTCTCTTTTTTAAAAAATATCCTCCTCCACCCATGCTGACCATCACTCACCATCCTCTATCTCTTAAAATAATTGTCCACCCATTCAGCAAACATTATCATTCTCCCCTGACCCCGCCTTTTATATTTTTAAGTCTACCTTCTCATTATGCAATATTCCACCAGCACAAAGCCATCATCATAACCTTATATAATATATGAAAATCTTTATTTATTTATTTATTATTATTTTCTATTTATAAAATTTCTAAAATATATTATTTATACCAATTTATATAAAAATACCTAAAAATATGTACAAATACAATCTGATTTTTCCGCTGAGAAATTCATAAAATAGTATATTCCAAGTTTCATCTGCGGGTGTTTAAAGAAAATGCCCAAGTCTTAAGGCCGATCAAAATGGGGTGTCTACAGTTGCCCCTTTTTGACAGAGCTCAAAGTCATTTCTTGACATGAGTGAATGTTTTATCCGGCTTTTCGCGAACGGAGCAATTCTGGAATGTTTACCCGTCTCTGTCGCATGAGTCACAGGTCGTAGCCAAGAGAATTCTATTCTAGATATTGAAGACGGGTACACTGAGGCTTCAGTTAGACTACCGAAGAAGTTTAAAATGTCCCACATCGACAGATTTGGTGGAAGTGGGAATCCAATTATACATGTCCGCCTGTTTTCAAATGTTCTGAGGCCAATGGGTCTTTCTCATGCTCAGAAACTGTTGTTGTTTGGGAGAACTATGTCTGATGTAGCGGCTATCTTGTATGCGAAACTAGAGGATTCTATGACGTAGAATTGGAAGGAACTATCTGAGGGGTTTGTTAACTAGTATCTATATAACACTCAGATCAAAGTAGCCATTAGTGAGTTGGAGGCAACTACCCAGAACCCAAAGAACCTTTTATTGACTTTGTCGCCAGATGGAGAGCAAAGGCAGCCCGGATGTCAAACAGACCCTCTAAAAGGGAGCAAGTCAGGCTAGTGGTCCATAATCTCGAGCTTGATATGCTACAAAGGATGATAGTGACTCCGTTGTCTACATTTGCTTCAGTACACGAGTTGGGGGTCCAAATTGAAAGTGCATTCGAGAAGG